CCGACGCGCTCGGCGCCGCCGCCGCCGCGCGCCTGCTGCTGCTGCTCGCGCGACTGCCGCGCGCGCCGCCGCGGCCGGCGGTCGCGGCGCTCGCGCGGCGCTCGGCGGCGCTGCTGCCAGAGATGGGCCACCGCGCCCTCGGCTCCTCCATCCACGCCTGGGCCAAGCTGAGGGTTGCGCCTGGAGAACCTTGGATGGACGCGTTCTACCCCGCCGCAGCCGCCGCCGCGCCGCGGCTCGGCGCGGTCGGGTTCGTCACCGTCGTCTGGTCTCTCGCGCGGCTGGGGCAGCGGCCCGACCCCGACTGGCTGCGGCAGCTTCTGGAGGACGCCTGCGGCGGCGGCGGCGACAGCAGCGGCGGCAGCGGCGGCGGCGCCGGCGGCGCGTTGGAGGGGTTCACGCCGCAGCGGCTCGCGATGACGGTGTGCGCGTTTGCGCGCCTCGGCTGGACGCCTGGGCCAGAGTGGCTCTCTCAACTCGGCGCCGCCGCGGCCCTTGCGGGGTCGGGGTCGGGCCCGGGCGGAGCGCAGGGGCTGGACCATTTCCACATAGAGTGGGCGTGGCGGGAGCTGAACGATCAGTATGCGCAGCGGATGAGGGAGCGGCAGCAGCGGGGCCCGGAGGAGGAGGAGCAGGAGGAGGGAGGAGGGGCCGACCCGCTCAAGCTGCCTGCGGCGGCGGCATCGGCAGCAGCGGCTGAGCGCGGCAGCGGCGACACCAGATCTGCCAGATCTGAGTCGTGATTGCTCTGTTGTTCTCTGTTTATTTTCTTGTGCCTATCTCAAACCCTTGTAAGAATCGATTTCTTGAAACTTGTAGCGCGGCAGTTGCGAGTGACTGTGTCGGCGACGGCGTCGGGAGTTGCGACGCGCCACGGCCTCAGAGGCGCTGAGTCAGCGCGGGTCACACCCCGCTCGGGCGCCCATGCCCCGGCGTCAGGCACCGCGCCGGCGTGCCTCGTTCTCATTCCGCAATCATCTCTTGAAACAGCTGCCAGCATCCGTTTTTGAACGTCCTTCCCCACCCAACAGACTACGCCGCAGCGCCGCGATGGCGCCCCCTTATGAGGGATCTGGGAGCGCGGTGCTGGATGGGCTGTTGAGGGCCAACAAACAGGTGGGGCCCCGAAAAACAAGCAGCCTGCAAAAACGTGCACAAACACACGCGCCGCGCAGCGGCGATCGACGCGTTCGCTGATCGCGCGCATGCGCGCGCGGCGCCACACCACACCGGGCCGGGGCGCGCTGCCTGCGCTGCGGCTCGCGGTTTGGCCCTCGCCCCGACACCGCCCGGCCCCATCATGCCGCCGCCGGCCGCCCGCTGCAGTACGCCTCGTCCTTTGACCGGCCCATGTCCCTCGGAGTCAAAAAGAAGGTGTGCTCCCTATGGACCCGTAATGTATGTCCTCACAACCCACACCGCAGCAGAAACCCGACCCAGGGCGTGGGTCTGGGTCGCCCCAACTGTCAACTGCTGGCTGGCTGTGACCAATTGTTGCAGGCTGCAGCTGCATTCAGCGCCCCCCGCATCGAGCATCCTGCCGCTGTCCGCCCCTGCCCGGCCAATCAGCCGCCCCTCTGCTACTGTGCGCTCCTGATTACGCCCGCTGCTGCTGCTGCACTCGCTCCTGCGCGCACACGCATGTGCCCGCACAGCTGTCCATCGTGACCTGCATGGACAGCCGTCTGATGCTCTCCAAAATGCTGGGGCTGGACATCGGGGACGCTGAGGTCATCCGCAATGCAGGTGATGTCACTCTGACGTCACCATGGGGCCACCAGCAGCCGCGATCACTGCATACTGCAGGGGCGGCTTGCAGCGTGCGTCACACAGCCTGCATGGGGTGGCTGAAGGGCTCGAAATCCTGCAGCACTGAACACAGGATAGGATGACGTGCCAGGGGCAGTCTCTGCCCAATATCTGGTCACTAAACTTACCAGCTCGTCCCGGCCTCGCACGTGCATTCGCCCCCGCTGATGTCACCCCTCCAGACCCCTCACCCGCTTTCGCCCGCCCCTGCCGGCGCGCCCCCGCCCGCCGCCGCAGGCGGCCGCGTGACGCCAGACGTGATACGGTCGCTGTACGTGGCTCAGGAGGTCCCCGAGCTCGCGACGCGCGAGGTGGTGATAATCCACCACACAGACTGCGGCGCGCAGGTGGAGGGGGGCCGGAGGGGTGCGGCCCTTGGGCCCTTGGGCCGGCGTCGGCTGATGCGAGTTTGATGGAGCGGCAACCCTTGGGGCCCTGGGGTAGGCCGCAGGAAGGTTGTCGCGGGGCGTTTTTTCGCCATCAAAGAAAATCAGTGGTGGCGTGTTTTCTGTCCGGTTCTCAGGGATGCGCGCGCAGACGCGCTGGCGCTGAGCAGGGAGGCGCCTGCTCTTCCCATCGTTCGCCAGTGGTCAGACGGCGGCGCCGCGACCCCCGGCGAGGCCGTTGCCTTGCATGACTCATGCGGCTGGTGTCGCCAATGTGGCTGATATGACCAACCTGACTGATGTGACTGATGTGACTCATGCAGGCCGCGGAGCGCCACGTGGACCTGCTGGTGGCAAGGGCCCAGCAGCTGCTCGGCCTCCTGGGGCCCTTACTGGGCCTCATGCAGGTGGTTTGGGATTTCTTGGGGGTAACCGGATTTCTTATTCTTGAATCGGGTCTCGTTGTATCAAATTTGGAGGTAGTGAGTGGGGCCGCTGCCTCGGCAGCAGGGCTGTTTCGATTGCCAAAACCCCTAAACCCCGAAACCGGCCCCTCCTCTTCCGCGGCCCACGCCGCTTCGCCGCAATCCCGCAGGCCGCGGCGCGGACGCTCGTGCCCGAGGCGGTGCGGCGCTTCGCGCTGCGCACGGTGGCGCGCACGTTTGGCGACCCCGTGGAGGCGGTGCGGTGGGACGTGGCGGTGCTCAGGGCCGCGCCCCTCATGCGGCGCGACATCCCCATTCACGGCCTGGTGAGCGCTGGCAGTACAGTGGCAGTACAGCAGTGCGTACAGCAGTGCGTATAGTGGCACAGTAATGGGATGGTACCGCAGTGATTGAGCTTGGTGCTTGGACAGATACAGAGCTTTTGTGTGTGTATGTGTGTGTGAGTGTGTGTGCGCGTGCGTGCGTGCGTGCGTGCGTGCGTGCGTGTGTGTGTGTGTGTGTGTGTGTGTGTGTGTGTGTGTGTGTGTGTGTGTGTGTGTGTGTTCTATGCGTGTATTGCTGGCATGTGTATGTATGTGTTGGGGGTTGTTTAGGGCCATCTCCTTGCGGGCTGCCCAGGCCGCCTTTGCACCATGCATATTGCCACGCCTCGCCCTCCGCCCATCATCGCCATGGCCGTGCCTGTATCGCACGCCCTGTACCATGGCCTGCAACTCAGCCGCCCGCGTTTACGCCCGCCCGCCCGCCCGCCGCCGCCGCAGCTGTATGACGTGAAGACCGGCCAGCTGTTTCACGTGCTGACGTCACCGCCCAACACCGACCCGCTGCGGCCTTGGCAGCATAAGTGAGGGCTGGCGGCGCGGCCCAGGTGGGACAGGGGCAATGCCCTCGATTTGAGGGTCCAGCTGACGGCGCATGGCAATCTACTTCGAGTCTAGGCGTCGGCCGAGAGGTTGTTTGTGAAAGCCTTGCCGGTCTGCCGGCGGATGATGCGGTCGATGTCGCCTGATTTTGCCATGATGCAGACGGTAAGGTGCGTGTAACGGCTGTACCTGAGTGGAAGTCCTGGTTACACACAGCAGTGAGTTGAGCGCAGGCGATGCAGGCTCTTCCTCAGATGTTTGGGGCCGCTTGAGCATGTCTGGCGCTGCGGCGCGGCGGCGCGGGTGCTCAATCACCCCCAATTCATGAATGCCGGTTTCGCGTTCCGAGGCAGCAACCCAAAGCAGGGGCCGTTGCAATTACGACACGTCTAGCAGATGAAACCCAGGCTTATGCTGCTGAGTATTAAGGCCCGAGCCCGCTGCCCTGATAAACTCATCAGTCGTCCATGTCGCCCGACGACGACGGGCCCCCGAGTCCCGCCGCCCCCGCCGCCAGCGCCGCGCTCCGCGCCTCCAGCGCCCGCGCCCGCGCCGCGCTCGCGGCCAAAAACGTGGCCACGTCCAGCTTGCCGCCCACCGCGCCGGCCAGGCCGCGCAGCTCCGCCTCTGCGACCGCCGCCCGCTCGTCCGCCTCGCGCCGCAGCTGCCCCAGCGCCCGCTCCACGCCCGCCGCGTCGGCCTTGGACGCGAGCGCCTCCAGCACCGCCCCCAGGTCCCGCCCAATCTCCTGCTGCGCCCGCCGCGCCGCCGC